TCCTGCCCTCCCATTTCATTGCCTGGGTGGTTGGCAACCTGCTCCAGGTCCATCATGCCCCTGGGAGGTGGAAGTTACCTAGTTTATTGATAATCCGTGCTAGGTGAGTCTTAGGACTGCGTCTTAGTAAGATTTGAGGAAATCACGTCTAGATGTTACCTAGGATCTCATTTCTGGGTAGATCTGATGATGACTTCTGTTCTTTGAGCAACAGTCATTTTTATATTTTCAGTAGTAGTACAAGGAGAAACGCAAAGTATAAGCAATCGGAAAATTGCAAATAGTGCAAAATTAAAATATTCAACAATAAAATTTATAGATCTAGACACAAGAGAGCCCCGAGTCCTGAAGGCAGGCAGCTGAAGTATCAGAAAACTTAACATTCAACCACACTGGGGTTACGGTCAAATGTCTTTTCAAGGTTTTGTCTAGTGTGTGTAACTTAGCAGTTTTTAATTTTTAATTTAAGAATGTCATGCTCTTGAATATATGTAAAGGCAGTGAGGGAACAACAGTTGGTATCCAGAAACCTTTGAGAGTGTGTTTACCAGCAGTAAAGTAAAAGAGCAAAAATCACAACAATTCCCACAGAGAGAAAAATCGGCCCACGATTTCAGCAAGTTTAGGAGTTTCTGTTAGATTTTTGTGTTTTGAATGTACTACGGTATTGGCCTGTCCCTGCCTCTTGAGAAAGCTGTCCCCTCAGATGTCATCTGCTGCTTTTTTGGGCTATAATCAGATGAGGTCTAGCCATTGGTTTGGTTGTCCAGTTGGAGGTTGTCCAGTTGAGTCAGTGCCTTGTGATTGAGCAGTTAGGAATAGCTGGTATGAATCCTCCCAGAGAGACTGGAGGGAGTCTTTGGGGACTTCTCTCCAGGTTGAAGGCCACGTTTGATATCTGTCTCCCAGGCGCATGGTGCAGACAGACTGTTCCACCAATTACTCATTTCATGGAAGGGCCTATTTATAGCTGTCATTTCTTACTAAGTCGTCATACCACCTTTATGTTGCTGGGTTCATATGCCCCTTGATCACATCTCCCTGGTCTTCCAGCAATGATTTCAAAGCATGAATGTTTATGTCTCTCATGGGGAGTGGATCTCAGATTCAACAGTATGAAGGGAAGATCTTTGGGCTTTGGCAAATGGAAAGATGCCGTGGGTTTTGCCAGTTGGGATTTTATGATGCCATTTGTTTCTTCCACAAGGTGGAATGTTTGCGGATGATAGGCCCAGTGGAAATGTGGCGCAACTGGCTACATGTGGCAAGTGGCCGAGTATTTGTCCTGGGAAATGGGTCCCTCAGTCATTGTGTATTCTCCAGTTTGGAAGTATTTTCTTCAGTAACACTAATCTACTCCTGAGGTTGTAGCCCTTAGAACAGGGAAGGCTTCTATCCGGTAAGTACACTCACAAACCATTAGTAAAACACATTGTATCCTGAGATGGTGGCAGCTGGATTGCACTCGTCACATCTATGTTTCATTTATTCCTGCTGTGATCTTGATTATGTTCTTCCTTATACTAACCTACATCTTCATTCTTTCTCTAGGCCCTGTAGGCATAAGGTTAGACTGTTTGAATTTTTTTCTTGTTCCTGTAGGTAGGCCTGTGTTGGTATAAACTTCCCTCTTGGAACTGCTTTTGCTGTGTCTGAAAGACTTGGGACTCCTCTGTGTTCATTTTCATTTGTCTCCATGTCATTTTTTATTTCCCCTTTGTTCATTAACCTATTGATGGTTTTGTAGCATGGTGTTTAGCCTCCATGCCTTTGTGGTTTTTTGTCCAGTTTTTTTTGTTTCTCTTGTGGTAGGTTTCTAGTTTGATACTGTTGTTGCAAAATTATTATGATTTTAATCTGAAATCTATTGAGATTCGTTTTGTGGCCTAAGGTGTGAATGAGAAAGTGCCATTTGCACTAGAAAAGAATGTAGGTTCCATTGTTTTTGAATGGGAAGTTTTGTGTGTGTGTGTGTGTGTGTATATGTATATGAAGTCCACTTGGTCAGAAGTCTTATTCAAAAACACAGGGTTCTTGTTGCTTTTCTGCCGGGATGATCTTTCCACTCATACACATGGGGTGGTAAATCTCTGCTATTTCTGTATTACTGTCAATTTTTCCTTTATGTCTATTAATATTTGCTTTAGGTATTGAGGTGCTCTAGTGTTGGGTGCATAGGCATTTACACTGTTACATTGTCTTGTTGGATTGATTGCCCTGTGCCGTTATGTAATGCCCCTCTTTGTCTCTTGTTACAGCCTTTGTTTCAAAGTCTATTTTGTCTGATACAAGTATTGCTACCCCAGCATTATTCCACTTCTGTTTGCATAATTTTTCTTTTTCCATCCTTTCGCTTTCAGTTTCTGTGTATCATAGGACTGCAGGGAGACTCCCTTAAGCAGTGTATATAGATGGGTCATTTTTTGTTTGTTTTAAATCGATTCTGCCACTCTTTATCTTTTCATTGGAGTATTTAGGCCATTTACTTTTAAAGTACTTATTGGAAGGTTTGTACTTCTTGCCATTTTGTTCATTGTTTTCTGTTTCTTCTCTTGTTTGTTTGTTTTATCTGATCGATGACTTTCTGTAGTATTATGTTTGGCTTTCTTTCTCTTCATGTATCTATTTTTCATCTATGAGAGGTTTCGGGTTTGTGGTCACCATGAGGTTCATGTATGACATGTAAAGTATAAGGCAGTCTATATTAAGTTGATGGTCACTTAAGTTTGAACACATTTGAGAACTTTTTACTCCCCCCTCCACAGTTGATGTGTATATTGTCCTATTTTCCACCATTGTATTCATAATTTTCTCAAGTCTGTTTATTACCTTTTCTTTTCTACTTAAAAGAAGTCCCTTCCCATTTCTTGTAACGCCATTTTAGGGGTGATAAACTCCTTTGAGTTCTTTTTGTCAGGGAAACTGCTTGCCATTCCTTCAATTCTGAATGCTCACCCTGCTGGTTGGCGTATTCTTGGTTGTAGGATGATTCCTTTCAGACTGTTGACTAGATCATGCCATTGTCTTCTGGGCTGCAAGGTCTCTGCTGAAAATTCACCTGATGACTTTATGGGGTTTCTCGTACACAGAACTTGTTTCTCTCATGCTGTTTCTAAAACTCCTTACCCTTAACCTTTGATATTTGAATTATTACATCATCCTGTGGGCCTCCTCGGGTTGCTCTTGTTTTGAAATCTCTCTGCTTCCTGGATCTGGATGTCTGTTTCCTTCTCCAGTTGAGGGGAGATTTCATCTAATATTCCTTCAACTATGGTTTCTGTCCTTTCTCTCTCTGTCTTCTGTATCTGGGGCCACAATAATGTGACTGTTTCCTTGCTTCATGGTTTCCAAGAAATCCTTTAACTTACCCTCATCTGCTGTATTTATTTATTTTTTTTCTTTTTACTGTTCAGATTCCAAGCTCTCCATCACCTGGTCTTGCAGATTACTGATCCATTCTTCAGAATCCACTAATCTACTTTAGATTCCCTGTGTTGCATTTTTGGTTTCAGTGATTATATTCTTTAGCTCTGTTTTTCTTTTTTAATTTATATCTTCTATGTCTTGTTGAAGTTCTCACTGAGTACTTCCACTTTTGTCTCCAGCCCAGTGAGCATCTTTTATGATCAATACTTTAAACTCTTTATCAAGCATATTGTTTATCTCTGTTTCATGTAGTTCCTTTTCTGAGGTTTTGTATTGTTCATCCATTTGGAGCATATTTCTCTTTCTCCTCAGTTTGTTTGACTTTCTGTGTGGTGGTTGTTATTGCTGTTGTTCTTTTTTATGACTTAGGCAGAAAAGCTACTTCTCCTAAACTTGAGGGAATGGTCTTGTGTCGGGGAACCCCTCTGTAGACTGTGTGTGCCTGGTGACGGAGTGGCTGGCCAGAGCTGTGGAGGGCATGTGTAGGGGGCCTAGGACACTTTGTATGGGCTGCCTGATGGGATGGCCGGAGCTGAAGTGGGTGTGAGCCGGGGTGGTCGCAGGGCTCTCTGGGCAGAGAATGCGCTGACAGGACATCTGAAGCTGGAGTGGATGGGGGTGAGGGTGGTCCTGGGGCTCTCCGCTCAGAGGGCTCCCTAGTAAGGCAGGGGAACTGGTTTCAAGGTGGGGTCTCCCAGTGTGCTCAGTACCAGGTGAACCGTGGTGCAGTAGTTAGAGCTGGGAAGCAGGTTTGTGGGTCCTGGGGTGCTCCCCAGAGTGCATGCACTGATAGGGCAGCTGGAGGTGAGGTGGGAGTCACGCCAGGAAACTGGGCTGCTGGTGAAGAAGCCACCCTGCCAGGGAGGCTGAAGCCAAAGCAGGCAGGAGTCAGGAGGTCCCAGAGCACTCTGCACCAGAGGTGCCCTAGCAAGCCTTATGGAGGTAAATTTCTGTGGACATGGACTCTTCTGGGTTCTTTCCACCTGTGGCACATTGGCCAGACAGCTGGATACGCATTGGGCGCTGACCAGGGTTTCTCAGTGAGCGCTGCTCCAGGGCCCCCGGTGGGATGGCTGGGACTGGTGTGGCCTGGGGGCCTGGGGCTGAGATGATAGGCCAGCTAGGACTCCCAGACCCTGCTCCTGTGCACATTATCAGTTTGGAGGGATAGTGTAAACCATGGTAGTTGCCAACCCCTCCAACTGGGAGAGAGTTCCAGCTACTTCTCTGCCATATGGCAGGGCTGTAGGGCTGTTTTATTTCTATTCCAGGTGCCCTTTTATTTTTTATTTATTTATTTATTTTAAAGATTTTATTTATTTATTCATGAGAGACAGAGAGAGAGAGAGAGAGGCAGAGGGAGAAGCAGGCTCCCAAGGAGCAGGGAGCCCGATGTGGGACTCGATCCCAGGACTCTGGGATCATGACCTGAGCCGAAGGCAGACACTTAACCATCTGAGCCACTCAGGCGCCCTCCAGGTGCCCTTTTAAACATCAGCTTTTCTTCTGTGCCCCGGGGCTGACAAACCTGCCCATGGTGACTCAATACTATCCCTCCCCACTATACTTTGCAGTGTCAGGAGTGGGGATTGCCTTCCTGACCGTGCCTCTGTCTCCCTTACTGGTGGTGTAGACACGGTGTGTCGACAGACAAGGTGAGTTCAGGGACTTTCTACATCACCATATTGGATCAGCTGGGTTTCTGCCCCCTGTAGCCCTGGGAAGTAGTCCGCATCCATTTTGGCACCTCTGCTTTCATGTGAGTGAGAGTCCTACCAGGGCCCCTGGTTTTATTTTATTTTATTTTATTATTTTATTTTATTTTATTTTATTATTTTATTTTATTTATTTATTTATTTATTTTTTAAAGATTTTATTTATTTGACAGAGACACAGCGAGAGAGGGAACACAAGCAGGGGGAGTGGCAGAGGGAGAAGCAGGCTTCCCGCGGAGCAGGGAGCCTGATGTGGGGCTCGATCCCAGGACGCTGGGATCATGACCTGAGCCGAAGGCAGCCGCTTAACTGACTGAGCCACCCAGGCGCCCCAGGGCCCCTGGTTTTAAACACCGAGCTTGCCTCTGGCTGACTTTCTCACCTGGATTACTCAGTTTTCTCTTGCCCTATGGACATGTGTTCTCAGGTGCCTCCACCTAATTCAGAACACAGGCGTCAGTATGCACATGGCTTAAGCCTTGCTCACATTCGGTGTTTCCTTTTTCTTCTGATGCATGTAAATATTGACATGTTTGTGTTCCCATCTATGTCTTATCATTTTAAAAAATCTTTTCTTAACCATTTATGTATCAGTGCATTGGGAGAAGAGGGTCTCACAACATACTAGTGCAATTCCTACCTGACTGACATTTCTCATTCGGTTTCTACTGGTCTGGATTGGGAGTGGTGGTCTGGACTCCAAGATGATGGCTAAGATGAAAGTGATGGCAGTGGACAGAAGCACCTCGACTCAAAATATATATTTTGTAATGAATTGTATAAAATCTCTTGGCTGAATGTGGGTGGTGAGGTATGGGAGTTTCGAATATCTGTCAGTCTTCTGGTTTGATCACTGGAGAATTTTTGAATCATTTATTGAAGTGGGAGAGCCTGGAAGAGAAAGCTTGTTCTTAAGTGGTTGCAATCCAGTTTCCTTCTGACCATGTGGAGATGAACCATTTGTGAGACCTAGAAGTGGACCTACCATGCAGCTGGATGGATACATGAGAGGCTCAGGAGAAAAGTCTGGATGGAGGCAAAATAGGAAGTTGTCAGCTGATTGATGCTACTGAGAGCCTGTCTCTGCAGTTTATACCTTCTGCTCTCGTCAGTCAGGCTGATTGTTCATAGCCACACGTGTTTACTAATTCTGATCTGACCCATTCAGCTTCCAGCCCTCTCTATTCAGATTCTTTAAGTTTTCCTCCTGCAGGTCACCTGATGCCTGAGTTTTCTGTGACACAAGTAATCCTTAACATTTGCGTGGAAAGGAAACACGAGTGCCCCCGAACTCCATCCTGTGAACATGGGGAGACTTAACATGAACAAGTGGATATAGGACAGAACAGGTGGTTATCCAGGTAAGGGTGAGGGGAGAACTTTTGTCGGATTTGTTAGGATGTTTCTACCAGCACTGAGGTGATCATCTCACGAGCATTTTTCCTCCACATAGGAAGTCATAGTTGATGGAGACCCTTTGTTCATAATGCAAAGTTCTGCCAAGATCAGACCCATCATAAATAGAAAGAGCCACATTCTCAAAAACAAACGCAATGCCTTAATTTGTTAAAATGAAGAAAACTAAAACTTTATTGGTTGGTTCTAAAGAGGAGTTAAAGTACATCATGCTCTTCCTCCACGTATTTAGGTCCTCCTTATTGTAAATGGCCACAATTCATCTAATCAATGGTAGGTCAGTTTTAAGGGCAATATTTAAGAGAGTATGCTCATAACTTCAGAAGTAGAGCAATTTCAGAATGTACAACTGCCAATTTCATCATTCCTAGTGCGATCCTATTCTCAACACATGAAGCAAAATCATGTGGGCCTCCATAGTTATATGTAAATATATTTGTCACTTTCAGCAGCCATCCATCAAATAAAAGGAGAATGAAGAGAGAAAATGAAGGTCTGTCCTGGAACAGAAATCTGAATATCGGAGAACAAAATTGCATCTGTTTCCATAGAGTTGAATCAAAGCTCTTTGATCGATTAAAATAATCCATAAACCACACAGCTTCCAACCCCAGACCTTTTTATTATCTATACCACCAGGTACAATGATTATTCCTGAATAAATCAGAATCAGGAAAAGCGGTAAATCAGGAGACCTTCTGTTGTTTTAAAACAATGAAATGAAAAGACACTTACAATTCAATAAGAAAAAAGAAAACCAAAACAACTCAACAGGAAAAAAGAACGAACACCAGCTCCACCCCAGCAACCTGATGAATCTCAAGTAACCTTAGGTGGAGAAGGCAAGACCCACAAGCGCACACACGGCCTAATGCCATTGTTACGGCCCTCAAAGACAAGCGAACCAAATGACACACTGTGTAGAGATACTTACATACATGATAAGATATATAGATATAAAAGTCAGGGAAACACACAATTCAGCATAGCAGGTGCCTTTGGAGAGAAGGAGAGGACTCATTGGTACTGGAGCAATTCCTGGGTTGGGTCGCTGACTCACAGTTGTTCTGCTGGGATGCTTTTAGCAGACACGCATGTTACGTGCTATCTTGTGTGTTATCATACATGACATTAAACATATAATACAGAAAAAACTGATCTCCTTCGAACTAAATTTTGAGACAGGAAGGTGTAGGGGAAAGATCTTGATGTGGGTGTTAGTTACAAGGGTGTACATAGATGTCTGACATGACGTGGTTCAAATCCTGGAAAGCGGTCTACACTCACACTCCCTTGTCTCCATCTCTCATGCCAGACTCATGAAAGGCCTCGAGGGGGCTCAGTGGGGTGGGTGGGGAGTGGTTAGGGCTCCCCTCCTGTGACATGCGCCCTCCCGTACTGGCCCCAGTCCATCCCCCCAGTCCTGACACCCCCTCCCTGTATGAATATCACCCCCAACTTCATCCCCCTATGCAGCCCAGGCCTCCCTGACACCAACCTCCCCCACTTGTATACTCTTCATGCTCTCCCCTGCCACCCCACCACATTGGGGCACATCGAGGGTGAGGGCAGAGAGCCTGGCCACGGTCAACTCCAGGCGGGGTGGGGAAACTCTAGGTGTGGGCGGAGTGAGGACCCTGCCCTTCCTCAGGCCATCCCAGGCAGGGGACACTAGAGACACAGCCAGCCCCACAAGCTGGACCTTCCACGATCACCCCTGCCGTGCAGGCCTGGAAATAAAGCCAACACTGAGTGCTTACTCAATGCCAAGCCCAGTGCAGACACCTTCATTCACGGAGAGTGGATTTAGGCCATGCCTACTGTGTGCCAGGCACAAGTTTCTGGACCTTGAGGATGCCGGGGTGTCCCTGCCCTTTTGGAAGTCAAACCCAAACAAGGACAGAGACCAGAGACCCCACATTCCAGGAGGAAATGCAAAGTTTGGTGAGTGCCAGGTAGGCAGATGCAGGGGCAGCATGGGGAAGGGCCCCCGGGTCAGGGCAGGCCTTTCTAGGAGGCCACGTAAACTGTGACCTGAGGCAGAGGGAGCAGGATGTGCACAGGCTTGGGGTGGGTGGGTGCTGGCCTGGGGAACAAGAGGAAGCGGGTCACTGAGGGGGCAGGTCCAAACCCCGGGGCACGCAGGATCCCGGCCTCTTGCAGGAGTGAGGTGGCAGTTCGCGGAGGATGTTGGGCAGAGGTGGGTCTTAATCAGAATTGGGTTGGGGTTCCTGGGTGGCTCAGTTGGTTAGGTGACTGCCTTAGGCTCCGGTCATGATCCTGGAGTCCCGGGATCGAGTCCCGCATCGGGCTCCCTGCTCAGCAGGGAGTCTGCTTCTCCCTCTGACCCTCCCTCCTCTCATGCTCTCTCTATCTCATTCTCTCTCTCAAATAAATAAAATCTTAAAAAAAAAAAAAAAGAATTAGGTTGATCAGGCTCCCACTGAGAAGAAAAGGGCGAAACCCAAGGCCTGGAGAAGTGAGGCAGGTGGGGGCATGGGGGGGATGAGGGGCCCGCTCTCATCCAGGGGGATGGCATGGGGGTGAGAGGCGTCTGCCAGGATCTGGGGTCACCAGGAGGGTGTGAGTAGGAGACCATAGCCGGCTGTGTTAGTGCTGCTAAGAGAAGCGGGTTGAGGACAGGGAAATGCCCTCTGGCCACAGGGGAGGTGAGGGGACCCTGATGGGGCAGGCTGACCCAGCCCTCAGACCTCCCCATACTCCCCTATACCGGGAGTGAGGAGATGAGGGGCCATGCCAGGGACCAGTGGTTGTGTGGATGGTCCTGACGTGGCGACCCCCTCCCCCAACTTGTAGAAGGGGAGCCTCTGAGGAGCGCTGTGTGGTCAGAGAGTGTCCCTCAGAGGCGGCCCTCCTCCCTCTGTTCCACGCAAACCCTCTTGCCCCACCTGTGGGTGAGGGAGTGAGGAACAGAGGTTAAAGGGTTCACTTGCCCAGATTGTGCAGCTGGGGGGTGGTCAGGAACCCAGAATGGTCCCACTGGGAGCCCAGGCTGGGCCTGCAGGGCACACAGATCCTGGCGGGCCTGATGCACCATCTGGGGCGGGTGGGGAGGCTGAAGGCCACGGTCAGGACTGGTCAGAACCACCCCAGGCCAGACGTTCTAGGGCTGCTGACACCAGGATGAGGCAAACAAGGTCATTATCAGGTAATGAGCTCATTACTGAAGTCAGGCAAGGTCCTTACTAGGTAATGAGTTTGCCCTTGCCCCAGGACAGTTCCTAGGGAATGCCTGGGTAGCCAGAGCCACCAGGAGACCGGGGAGCAGCTCCAGGGCCTCGTAGCCAAGGGGTGTTCAGGGGCAGAGTGTGCCCAAGTCCAGTCCCCACAGGAAGCCCCGGACCCTCTCGCCCCTTCTTTAAATGAGGAGCCACCTGCAGCTCAGACCTGCCCTTCAGGCCACAGGCCTCCCATGGCCCCTGCCCACCTCCCAGCATCTGTCACCACTGCCACCCTCACCATCTCTTGGCCAGCAAAGACTGGTCCTGGGCTCTGACAGCTGGGAACACCGAAACAAGGCAACAGGGCCGCCAGAGCTCCGTGAGGCAGCATGAACTAGCCCAGAGTGGTGCCTTGAGCCATGACCCAAGCCCGAGCTGCCCGCTTAGTCTACTGACGCTCCACTACGTGGCCTGCACTTCGGGGCCCCAAAGGTACCACAGCCTTCCTTTCCTAAGAGCCCTGGGGCCAAGGCCCAGGCCCCAGCCAAGCCAGGGGCCTAGTCAGTCTGGCTCCCACAGCAAGCAAGCGGCACAGCTGGCTAGAGACTGGGTGGGCATCCATGCTCTAGAGTCCGTGCTGAGGGCCGGGGTCTGTGACCAGAAAGGCAAGGGGCAGCCCACTCCAGGCCCAGCTCCAAGGCTAGCCCCCTTCTCCTCCCAGGGTGGCTGGGGGCTCGGCAGACCATACTTCCCGCTTCCCATGGGGGTCGCCCTCCCCAGACCCTCAGAGCCAACCCGGGAGGGTCTCCCCGCCTTGTGCCCCCCTTCACTGAGAACCAGGCTGGGCCAGAACTTGGTGTGCAGACAGTTGCGGAAGAAGACAAAGACCACCGTGCCCTGAACGCTCACACTCAGTTCTACCTCGTGGGGTTGGCGGAGGGGGTGACCTGGGCATCTGCATTTCCAGACACTCCCGTGATGACTGGGAGGCTCCCCTGCCCCCTCCGAGGCCACCAGGGCCCCTCCGACATACAAAGCCCGCCTGGCCCTGCCGACTGAACTCTTCCCTGGCTCCCACCGCCCTCGGCTTTGGAAAATAAGACCTCCTCTCTGGGGGGCCGCCAGGGTTTCACGGCAACAGAGAGCAAAGGTGAGGCAATTCAGTGACGCGGAGCCTGCCCCCCTTCTCCAGGAAGAGTCAGAGCCCAGGGTTTTCCCTCCTCCCAGGCTCTGGGTTAATCAGTGGCCAAGCCCGCTGATCGCCCAACCCTGCCTGTGCAGAGGGGCCCACCTGAATGCACAGAGCCCAGAGCCCAGACGGGGACAGCTCCCGGAGCTGTGAGAGCCGGCCTCCCCACCCCCAGCAGACCAGGCCCTGGCCCTGAGCACACAGAGGGGGCCGGAGTGGGGAAGGAGCTAGGCCCTGCACTGGGCCCCACTCAGTTCCTCTGTGCAGGGGGCCAGGCAGGCTGGCCTATGAGGATATTCTAGAAAGCAGAAGAACCAGAAAGCAGGCCTGTGTGCCAGTCCCCCTGGCCCGGTCAGTAGCTCTGTTCCTGCTTCTTGTCCCATTCCTTCCGAAGCTACCTCTGTTCTGACCAACGAGCCTAGGCAAGGGCTCCCCAACCTATCCTCTCACCTCCAGTCCTCAGCTTCTGCTGGCCCCCCCACCTGTGAGGCTCAGGCTACAGTCACCGCAACCTATTTCTTGACTATCGCTGCCCTTGACCTCAGGGGCTCAGGGTCATGTTGACCACAGCTGCCTGTTCACCCCTCACCAACGCCTCTGCAGCCCCCCTCTGGGCTGGTTGGGGTCCCCGGGGCCTCTCCTCCCACTCTGCACTCGCTCCTGGGTAATCTGTCTGCCCATGACTTTGGGACTCTCTGCCACCAGCCATGACCTCATATCTGCCTCACCTGCAGGATCGTCAGCTCTTCACCGCAAAGGCTCTGTTCCTACCACATCCCTCCAGCAGCCTCAACAGTCAGAAAACTTCGAGGCCCCTCTCTGCCCTGGCAGCCCAGCCCCACCCTTCCTGGCTCTCATACCACATCACAGATCTGGAGTCTGTCCACCATCACCCCCCCCGCCCCCCTCCCCAGCCTTTCCCAGCCTCCTTGCTGTGCCCCCACCACAGATGTTAGGGGTCTCCTTCACTTCATAGGTGAGGCTCAGAGGAGGCAGAGCCCCTGGGTCACACAACCTGACTCCAGCAGGCCTGGGGAAGGAATCCAGGGCATTTTTTTTCTGCAATATTTTAATTACTGAGGGGAGGGGGGGCAGGAGTATGGTTAACGAGGCCCTGGGGACCAGCAGAACCAGACACTGGATATCCCAGGGGGTCAGGTGACTCAGCAGGAATGGGGGGCTCTGTGGGGTTTGACAGAGTGCCAAATTCTCACCTCCCCTT